TTATCAACCAGGAGAGTTCATTAGAGAATTAATACAGTGGAGCTTCCCCCTGCCCCAGTTGTGGCCTATTTACATAGACTGTCTGTTCCTGGCACATACACAAGTTTTAGAAGGAACGCAGATGATCAACATAAATGATGTTGTTTGTATAAATAGAATAGGCATAGAGAATCACTTTTATTTGTTGATGGTAAAATTCTCCTTAAATCTAAGTTCCCAGATGCCAGACAAGGGCCATCACTATAAGTAATTCTTTCTAAAGATAAGCAATTAGGCCTTCTACATCAACTTCTGTCTGCACAGGTATACAACAAAGTTATTTTTAAAAAAGAGTTTCATATCTTTTCGACAGTAGGACTAACTGTGTAGATGGATAAATGGACAGCATTTTAAACCAGTAAAAAGAGAATATATGTTATTTCCAAATATCCAGAGAAATTTCTTAAAAAACAAAACCCAAAGGTTTTGACTTCAAAAAATGTCAATAATTGCGGGGGCGCATCGTATCCAAAAGACTAAAGTTTGACAAAGATCTTTTAACATGACGTGATGTTTGCAGGGTCTCATCATGGAACGATGCTTGCAAGGCCTCATCGTGGGAGAAGATGCCACCATTCCACCCTCATTTTCTGGAGCTTCGTGTGCTTGCTTTGTTTTATTATATTTTATTCCTTATTGCCTCATAACTATCACTCTGGGAGACTTGGGAGTAGGATTGAAAATTATACCAAAGTATTTAATTATACTAATGACACTTTGGGGAGTTATGGGTTTTCTGGAGATGGTTTGTGGCAGCTGGGACCAGAAGGGGATAACGAACCCATGTAGACATTTGCCTTGCCTGCTTCCTGAAAGGATTGTCTTTATGATTATGCCTAGCTTGTTTGCTTCAAAGGAGTAAACATAAACTTTCTTTCCATTTAGAAATACAAATTCTAGTTAAATTTTAGGGTTTTTTTATTAGGCTTAATAAAATCTTATTCCACAATAGGTTGTAGCTATGAATAATACTGGTTAAGGGGAACTGGATTTTTTGCTTACATCTTTTGATTAAGGTATAACTTTGAATCAAGTTTTAATAACGTCATACAGAGTATAATGTACTGTAGATTTAGCTAAGTTAAATAGTACAATTGATGATTATTTGGGGCCGATGGGTTGTAACGTTCTTGTAAATAAGGAAAAAATAGTATAGTCATCCTTTCTGGGAATATATTGTAATGTTGATGATTATCTGGGATTAGTGGGTTTCTTGTAAATGTTACATTGTTATCTTTTCCAGGAACAATTTGTAATGTTATTCTTCCTGGGAACACATGTTACTCATAAAATGTTATGATCTTGTTCAATGATTTGTTCTATAAGTATGTTACAACTAAGAAAAAAGTATAAAAGATCTGTGCATGCTTCAATAAAGTGTCAGCATTCAGCAGATCCCTTGAGTCTGTGTGTTTGCTGTCCATTCCATCGCCAACGCTGCCTTTCCTCCCTTTTGGGGGTTTCTTATCAGCGGGGACCCTACAATCTTTGTGCTGGGGCTGGTCCCTGGCATCTGACACCCGAACAGGGACCCGTTGGTAAGTTCCCCCTCCTTATAATCTATCCATTTTCATTTCTTTACAGGATAAGGGCAGCTAGGATCCTGCTCAGGGAGCCGTGGTCCCCCCAGTAGAGAGGCTGGGTGAGAAAAGGCAGGGATTTCAGAACAGTAAGTATGGGAACAAATGAATCAAAAGAAAGAGCATTATTTATTGATATAAGTAAGCACCTTTTAGAAAACAAAGGGGTTTCAATAGGAAACTCTCAATTAAAGAGATTTTTTTCACTTTGTTCAAGAATGTTCACCTTGGTTTCCAGAAAGCGACTCTTTTGATCTGAAGACGTGGAAAAAGGTAGGAGACGATATGCAAACTTTTTACCGCCAATTTGGCGATGAAAAGATACCCAGAGACGCCTTTGCTCTTTGGAACCTTTTCCGAGACTGCTTTGATTCTAGGCATGAAGCGGAATAGCTGAAAAGAAGATTAAAATCTCCACTTTCCACCTCTTCAGATGATCAAGAGTGCGTAAAAGGTAAACGGCAAGTAAATATGGTTGCTGAAAATGTACAGGAAAGTAAAAATGAGTCAGAAAGCGATAGCGACAGCGATAGTGTTGTAGATGAGAAAAACAAGATAACAGATAAACTTTCTCCTTCAGATGAGGAGGATTTAGAAGAAGCTGCATTTAAATATCATAATGAAGATTATCCTCCCTTTTTAGCTCCAGTTGTAAGAGGGAGGCTGAGAAAAAAATCTACTAAACTTTTACCAGAGAGAGTAGGATTTCTAGGAGCAGTTGTTGAAGCTCAGAGGCAGGGAGACATGAGTGTTTGTTGTCCTATTATTTGGGCAATAGATAAAGGTGGTGGATGAACAGGAAGCTCCTGAACCTTTTTTATAGGGGCCTCTGTAACGAACTATAGAAATGATCCCTGAAAGTATAGTCTTTATAGGGGCCTCTGTGACCAAACAGGCTGACCCAATAATCTGGAAAAGTAATCATCCAGTTTGGGTGGAACAGTGGCCCCTAACTAAAGAAAAATTAGAAGCAGCCACAAAGCTAGTACAAGAACAATTAGAACAAGGACATATGGAACCATCAAATAGTCCTTGGAATACTCCAATATTTGTTATTAAAAAATCTGGCAAATGGAGACTTTTACAAGATTTAAGAGCAGTAAATAACACTATGGAGACTATGGGGGCTCTTCAGCCTGGGCTTCCTTCTCCAGTGGCTGTACCTAAAGGATATAATATAATAGTTATTGATTTACAGGATTGCTTTTTTACTGTTCCTCTTGCTGAACAGGATCGATGGCGGTTTGCATTTAGTTTGCCATCTCCAAATTTACAAAGGCCTTATCAAAGATTTCAATGGAAAGTTCTGCCTCAAGGTATGAAAAATAGTCCTACATTGTGTCAAAAATTTGTGGATCAGGCTCTGCTTCAGTGCAGACAGAGATATCCAGAATGTTATGTTATTCATTATATGGATGATATATTGTTGGCTCATCATCAAACAGAATTGTTGCAACAAGTTCTTGCTGAACTTGTAAAAGATTTATAACAGTGGGGATTAATAGTAGCCCCAGAGAAGATACAGCAAGAGCTACCTTATAATTATCTTAGCAGAACAATTAAAACAGATTGTATCATGTCACAAAAATTACAGATAAGAAAGGATAAACTTGTGACGCTTAATGATTTTCAGAAGTTATTAGGAGATATTAATTGGATTAGGCCTTTTTAAAAACTATCTACTAATGATTTGAAGCCTTTGTTTGAAATTTTAAAAGGAGATTCTAATCCAACTTCCAGTAGAATATTAACTAAACCTGCTGAACAGGCTTTAGAGCTAGTAGAATTAGCTATACAAAAGCATTATTTGCAGCAAGTGGACTATAGCAAGTCATGGTCATTTATCATACTAAGAACAAAGCATACTCCTACAGGGTGTTTGTGGCAAAATGACCCTTTAGAATGGATACATTTGCCTGTTTCTGGAAAAAGGATTTTAACGTCTTATCCCTCTATGGTGGCTACTTTAGTTTTAAAGGCTAGAGCGAGGAGTAAAGAACTATTTGGTCAGGAGATGCACGAAATAATTATTCCTTATTCTAAAGAGCAATATGAACATCTTTTGCAGATTGACGATCATTGGGCAATTGCTTTTCTTAATTTTACAAGAATAATTTCCTTTCATTTACCAAATAATCCATTGCTTCATTTTTTACAGGTTACTGATATTATTTTTCCAAAATGGTATTCATCAGAGCCCCTAATTAATGCAATTTTAATTTTTACAGATGGATCTTCTAATGGCATAGCTGTAACACTAATAAATTCTCAACCCACAGTACAATGGACAGGAGAGACCTCTGCTCAGAGAGCTGAATTAGAAGCAGTCATTTTTGCATTTAAAACTGTCCAACATCCTTTTAACCTTTATACAGATTCCTTATATATAGTTAAATTATTTCCTGTTATTGAGACTGCAACCTTGTCTGCTGCTTCAAAAATTTTTTCCAGGTTACAAGAATTACAAAGTTTAATTCATCAAAGGACACATACATTTTTTATAGGTCATATTCGAGGACATAGTGGACTCCCTGGACCCTTGGCAGAAGGAAATTCTAGAGCTGATTTATTAACAAAAAATTATATTCTTACAGCAATGGAGGAAGCAGTCTTATCTCATAAGACTCATCATCAAAATTCCTCAGCTCTTCAAAAGCAATTTCATATTTCTAGGGAAGAGGCTAGACAAATAGTAAGAAATTGTCATGTATGTCCTCAATTTATTTCTTCTCCACAGATGGGTGTTAACCCCCGTGGGTTGATGCCAAATATCCTGTGGCAAATGGATGTCACGCATATATCTGAGTTTGGAAAATTGTCTTATGTCCATGTAACAGTAGATACTTTTTCTCATGTAATTGTAGCATCTGCCAGGATGGGTGAAGCCTTTAAGGATGTTATACAACACCTTTTTCAATGTTTTTCTGTTTTAGGAATGCCAAAAAAGATAAGGACTGATAATGCACCAGCTTATACTTCAAAAGCTTTTAAAGAATTTTGCAATAAAGTTAACATTTCTCATTCTACAGGAATTCCTTATAATCCACAGGGTCAAACAATTGTAAAAAGGACACATCAGAGACTTAAGCTACAAATAAATAAACTCAAAGAGGGAGAGTTTAAATATTCCTCTCCTCATCATATATTGCAGCATGCAATGTTTGTAATAAGTCATTTAAATACTGATAAAGAAGGGGACACAGCTATGATAAGACATTGGGGTAATAAAGAGACAAAAACTGTTTTGGTAAAATGGAAAGACTTACTAACTAATCAGTGGAAAGGACCTGATGTTTTGTTAACATCGGGACGGGGCTATGCATGTGTATTTCCACAGGATGCTGAAAGTCCTTTGTGGATTCCTGATAGGTTAATAAGACATTATAATGCCACCAATCAGAAACAAGACATGCAAAGAATGCTGGATGGGGTGCCAGACCACCAATCAGGAGCCAAAGAACAACCCAGCTCTTGAGATGAAGAAATTGCGAGTCTCTCAGTCTGCAGCGACAAGGAATGCATCATATCCTACTTGAGGCCAGATCAAGCGGCTAACTTCTGCAGCTGAAGGGGTGCTGACATCCACCGGGAAAGAAAAAACGCCTGAAGCTTTGTTTTTGGCTATGCTTGCTCTGCTTTCTTTTCAGGTAATCTCAACTTCAGCTATGGCCTCCTTTCTAAGAGAGAAAAGTAAAGCTTACTGGACTTATTTTCCAAATCCACCATTGTTGCATTCTGGCACGTGGAGCAGACAAAATCTTAAAGTATTTACAAGCCATCCTCAGCTTTTGGGAGGTATTTCAGTTTCCTTAATCCCCCATAAGCTAAGTAATACCTTATCCTTTCATGGCTTGGCTGATGAAGCTCCTTTATGTTTCAGTATGAATAGTACTCGAGTGCCTGTCAGATGCTTACCACTAAGTTATAGAACTTATGTAACTGATTCTCCACAACTTGATTCAGATAAAAGATACATTTGGACTTTAGAAATGATTTCTATAGGATATAATAATTATAATGAGACACATGTAAATGAAACGCTTCCAAAACTTTTGGAGGCATGTGATAATAATAATAAGTATCCAGACATGTATTGGAATTCTGAAGATATTAAGGTTGATTTTCCAACATGGTTTAAATGTGGGTTTTCTCATAGTGCAGTAATTTTTAACCCTAGAGATTCAGAAGTTATTATTAAAGATTTTTCTGTTTCTGCTCCTTGGTATGATCATAAGCCTAATATTTTAAACAACATGAATAAAAAATTTATTTTTTCTGGATCAAAAGAATTGGCATTTGGGGAGCCCCTACACAGTTGGTTTACCCCTGGTTGGGTAACTCCAATTTTTAAGTTTATTCTTAAAAATGGTAAACACTTTTATTTTTTTGATTTGTATAGGTTATTTGCTGCCACTAATATAGTGAGATTAAATAGACCCGAGACGACTAAGGTTGAACTTTATAATCCTAGAGCTTGTGTTAATGCACCTCATGTTATATTAATGGGTAAAACACATGAGATTAATATAATTAAAAAGCAAAAGTTGTTTAATATTACATGTAAATGTTGTATTTTAACTAATTGCATTAACTCTAGTTTAAGTAAAAAGTATCAGACTTTTTTAATAGTTTACCAACCTTCATACATTTTTTTTTTTAAATTTAATTAATTAATTAATTATTTTCCTTTTTGTCTTTCTTTACTGACCGGCAACGGGATCGCAACCCTCAGTGTTGCGCCCGCACCGCGCTCAGCCAGTGAGCGGGAACCGGTCTCCACATGGGATCCGACTCCTCAGCGGGGGCGCTGCCACGCTCCCAAGCAGTGCACTCTCCAGTGCGCCACTGGGCCGGCCCCCTTCATATGTTATTTTACCAGTTGTGTTACAGGAACCTTGGTTTGATGATCCTGGTACAGAGATTTTAAAAAGAGTAAATGAATTACTTAGACTTAAGAGATTTGTGGTGGCTTTGATTTTAGGAATCACTGCACTTATTAGTATAATAACTTCACTTGCAATTTCAACTACAGCATTGGTACAGGAAATTCATACTGCTTCTCATGTAAATGATTTATCTCATATTACATCTGTTGCTTTAGCAATCCAAGAACGGATTGATAAGAAGTTAGAAACTAGAATTGATGCACTTGAAGAAGCAGTTTTTTTTATAGGAAAGAAAATCCAGCATCTTCAAACTAGAATGACCACTAGATGTCATGCTAGCTATAAATTGATTTGCATTACTCCTTTGGAAGCAGACAATGATACTGAATGGAGTTTTGTTCAAAACCACCTTAAGGGAATTTGGAATAATACTGATTTGGCTCCAGATATTTCTACATTACAACAAGAAATTAAAGATATAAGTAATGCACATTTGTCCGTTTCCCCTGATGAGAACTTAGCTGCCGATATTTTTAAGAATATTAAATCAACTATATTCCATAGTACATTTTTTACTAATATTATCGAGTATGGATTAATTGGCTTTTTTATTTTAATTATGATCCTTTTTCTTCCAGTCATCCTCGGAGTGATTTGTGGCTTGTTTAAGCGCATTAATATCCAGAAAGGTATGTTTCAATTAATAAATAAGAAGGGGAAAGCTCCTTCTTTTGCCACTTCTATGAGCTGAACTGGGTAGCCAAAGACGGGTAAGTGGGTAACATCCCCACACCACCTAAGACAGGAGGGCCGCCTCTGCTGCGGCCTAATCCTATGACGGGTTCCGTGTGCGGGATAGATTGCCCCAACCTAAGACAGGCACAGTTCCTGAGAAGTTCTTTTGGCTTTTTATAATAAAAAAGAGGGAACTGTGGGGGTGCATCGTATCTAAAAGACTAAAGTTTGACAAAGATCTTTTAACATGACGCAATGTTTGCAGGGTCTCATCGTGGGACGATGCTTGCAAGGCCTCATCATGGGAGAAGATGCCGCCGTTCCACCCTCATTTTCTGGAGCTCGATGTGCTTGCTTTGTCTTATTATATTTTATTCCTTATTGCCTTATAACTATCACTCTGGGAGACTTGGGAGTAGGATTGAAAATTATACCAAAGTATGGGCTGGCCCGGTGGCGCACTTGGTAGAGTGCGGCGCTTGGGAGCACGGCGGTGCTCCCGCCGAGGGTTTGGATCCCATATAGAGACCGGTCCATTCACTGGTTGAGCGCGGTGCAGGCGTGACACTGAGGGTTGTGATCCCGTTACCGGTCATGAAAAAAGACAAAAAAGAGGAACAAAAAAAAAAAGAAAATTATACCAAAGTATTTAATTATACTAATGACACTTTGGGGAGTTATGGGTTTTCTGGAGATGGTTTGTGGCAGCTGGGACCAGAAGGGGATAACGAACCCATGTAGACATTTGCCTTGCCTGCTTCCTGAAAGGATTGTCTTTATGACTATGCCTAGCTTGTTTGCTTCAAAGGAGTAAACATAAACTTTCTTTCTATTTAGAAATACAAATTCTAGTTAAATTTTAGGGTTTTTTTATTAGGCTTAATAAAATCTTATTCCACAATAGGTTGTAGCTATGAATAATACCGGTTAAGGGGAACTGGATTTTTTGCTTACATCTTTTGATTAAGGTGTAACTTTGAATCAAGTTTTAATAACGTCATACAGAGTATAATGTACTGTAGATTTAGCTAAGTTAAATAATACAATTGATGATTATTTGGGGCCGATGGGTTGTAACGTTCTTGTAAATAAGGAAAAAATAGTATAGTCATCCTTTCTGGGAATATATTGTAATGTTGATGATTATCTGGGATTAGTGGGTTTCTTGTAAATGTTACATTGTTATCTTTTCCAGGAACAATTTGTAATGTTATTCTTCCTGGGAACACATGTTACTCATAAAATGTTATGATCTTGTTCAATGATTTGTTCTATAAGTATGTTACAACTAAGAAAAAAGTATAAAAGATCTGTGCATGCTTCAATAAAGTGTCAGCATTCAGCAGATCCCTTGAGTCTGTGTGTTTGCTGTCCATTCCTTCGCCAACGCTGCCTTTCCTCCCTTTTGGGGGTTTCTTATCAGCGGGGACCCTACAATCTTTGTGTTGGGGCTGGTCCCCGGCAAATAATTTTATGAAAGCAGAATTCATACAGATCATTTTTCCTAACTTCTGTGAAATGACAACAGAAACTATACAAATGAAATGTAAATAAAAAGGAATTGTAGTCACATGTTAATTTCATGTAACATCCTTTTAAATAGCTTCTGGATTAATTTAAAAATCCAAAATAAGATTATTTTAAGGAGTCATAAAGTATTAAAAAAGAATAGTAACTGGAATCAAGGAATGTAAGTTTAGGTAAATAATTCTACCAAGTACTGTTTTAATGTTACAGAAAAAGTACACAATTGATGGTAACTCCACTAATATAGAAAATTATTACTTCATAAATTTGTGCAAAGCATAAAATTACTTTTCAAGTATTAAAAATAATTACTCTTTACAAACTATTATTACTATATGTTATGTTGCTAGGGTGGTGGTGTTTCTAATCAAGAAACTCAGGTCTTCTCATGAGATTCTGTTGTCCACCACAAAATACCTGTGTGGTATATTGGGAAAAATCAAGAGAGTATATTTGACAAACTGCAGTTGAAAAATACAAATATAAATTAAACAATTAAAAAATATAATATATAAGGCTTTTAAAATTTTCATTTACTTTTAAAATTTTTTTTAATTTTTACTTTTTTTGTGGCTGGCCACTCTGGGGATCCAAACCCTTGACTTTGGTTTTATAACACTGTACTCTAACCAACTATAAAGCTTATTTTTAATGTATGGGTTAAACATTAAAATAGAATGAGGTAATGAGAGATTTGTGAACTGAAAGATTAAGCAGAATAAATGTGGCCAAGTTGCAGTACAAAGACATAAAGTAATAAAAAATACAATGTACATGTGTACACATATACATATACATAGTGTATATATGTATGTATGGTATATGTACATGAATATATATATATATATACACACACAACAACTAAAACAGGAAGAAATAAAACAGAGGTAATTGTGTCACTAAGAAAATGAAAGAAAAACTGTAATCAAGAAAAAATTTATAAATTTCTAAAATTGAAAACAACATGACTTCTTGTATTCAGAAGTATATTGGATTACAAAAAGAGATGAATTAAAAGAAATACTGAAACAGAAATAATGATAAAACTTCATAACACCAAAAGAAAAAAAATACTTAAAAACAGGGAGAAGGAAAGTATAGATTAACCTATAAAGATGACAACAAAATCTTCATTCCATACAGAAGCTGTAATTTGGAAAAAAATAAATCAGGAATTTAGGAAAAAAGTAATATTCAAGCTAGAATTAAATGCTGAGCTAAAATATATTTGATGAAAAAGGGTAAAATAAAATATTTTCACAAGTAAAAATTTTGAGAGATATAGTTTATGTAGGAGCTTCTAAAAAATATACTTCAAAAAAGTTTTTTAGTATGAAGATATGAGAATTAAAAAAACATAAATAAGAGACTTGTAACCCTATGGGAGTATTATAACATAGTGAACATTTAATGAAAGAAACCACACACACACAAAAGGCAACACAGGATTAACTGTATCTAGGTATATTAAAGTGTGATTATACAACTTTTAATTAAACAAGATGGCAAATTCTATGCTACTTGAATAATTTGACTGATGGCAAAAAATCTATACATAAGACTTTTAATCACTAATTTGTTAAAAAACATGGGATTTCTGTCACATATTTTGTAAATTATTGATTTTTTTTTATCAGATCTGATTAGCACTAAGGGCTAATCACTAAGTGGCACAGAAATTTCCCACAAACCTCTGGACACCCAGGACAAACTGAGTCACATGCCTATAATAGGGTTGAGAAGAATGTGATGATAAAGTCCACCC